CCTTCTCCTCTCTGTCAACGCTCTCTGGTTTCATTTAAAAGAGTCGATCATCAGATAGTGTCCAAGATTAACCTTCAGGGTGGATATAGCTCGCTAGCAGCCTCGCACCGAGGACCTATCCACGTCATCATTTACCCAGAATTCTTTACAGTATTTTTACAGTCTTTATTTTACAGTTAAAATATATGTTTATCAAATAGAGTAATATTACAACTAATCATGGATCCCTTTAAAGTCTGTATTTCTCACTGAAGAGTGATGAACTTATTTCTAACTTTATCTGACTTATTTAATTTTATTTGTTTTTATCGTCCTGCAGGCTCTGAGAGAAAATTAATTTGAAGCTGAGTTTTTGATAAAAATCATTAGATTAATCTAAACGTCTGTAAACCTGCAAAATGAGGGAGAATCTGTGTCAATTACAGACATTCTGTTCAGGTGAACAGCTTTCAGCACCTGTCCTCCTCCAGACACATGACGGAGTGTGTCTGAGCCAATCACTGATCAGCTGACTGATTTAAATACATCTTAACATTCATGAGGTACTTTACATTGACTGTTTATCGTTGAGTGTGGGTGTGTAGAGGGTAGAACCTGAGGTGAAGCTGTGATCCATAAAGGTGCAGAAACATGCGTACACACGCTTTTATAGTTGTTTTGGTGTATACTATTTTCACCTTTTGGCCGTACGTTCACTTTTAGTATGGTTTCCACACAAACCTTTATAAATCTGAGCCCTGGAGAATACTATAACCAAGAACCGGACCACTCGTAGGGACTTCCTGTTTCCTGTCCTGACCTTGCTCGCTGTAGCGCCTCTGCTTGTGGTTGGAGACGCTCCTCTGGACCTTCAGGTGGGATGGCGACTGACCGTTCATCTCACTGCTGGGTCTGGGTTTGGACAGAGACAGGTTGCTGCTGGAGGCGGACTCGCTGGGCTCCATCTGAACAGACGACGGAGTCAGAATCAGAGCTGAGCGGACTGCAGCTAAAAGCTAACAGCTAGCAGCTAAAAGCTAACAGCTGGGTTTGTACCTCAGAGGCCTTCCTGCCCAGCAGCAGGTACGTGGCTGTGATCTCGTCGTACTTCATCTTAGCTAAAGACTCCTGGATCTCCTCCAGGTTGTAGCCCATCCCCACCATCACATCTGCACAAGCAGAGGATCCATGTAAACACAAACACAACCAGGTGACAACAACTACACACACTGAAGAAGTTTCACTTCAACAACACTCAGTTTAACCCAGTGGTTCTGGATTATCAATAGAGAGACATTTTCACATTTCTACAGCTCTTTATCTCATAAATACAAAGAGTTTAAAATAGTTGTTTTGCTCCAGAACCAGAGCGTGAAATAAATTTTACAGAAAGAGGGATAGAAGTGGTTCTTCCCTGACTTCTGATGTACTTTAGAGAAAGCCATTTGTCCTACAGCAAAACCACAAATAATGTCTGAAAGAAGACAAACATGTCTACGATTAGATATATAATTTGTCTGTGTTATGAAAATTGTGATTTGCTCTCTCTCCTGAACCTGTCCCTCCTTCGCTGCTTTTTCAAGCCTTTCTTCTACCTATCATCTGAAAACAAAAGGAATTATGGATCTGGTTAACTGGTCTCTGAACGCAATCAACAGTATTTTTTCCACATTGAGACTGGAGTGAGGGAGTGAGATTCCTGCTGATCGGCTGTGGAGGAGTTCTGAGTTATCAGAAAATGAAAGCGATCCTGATAGCAGTCCGGGCCTGTGAGAAGCTGTCAGGAACCATGGATGGAATCTCCCGTACTGGTAACACAGACTCAGATGTTGGGGGAAATAAGTCACAAACTGGATATGATTCTGCTGAGAATCACAGCTCAGCAGCGTGACCGTGAGATGTAGGATTACACCTGGGTGAAGTTTCAGACGAAAAAAGGCAAGGGGGTGATGAAATTCAGAACATTCAGCATTTTTTTTCTATTTCAGAGATGCAGTTAAGACTGTAAAGCAGCAAGAAATTCGATTCGAAATTTGATTTTGTCCCAAAACAGTTGTTTATCTTTCAGATCCCTTGGTCAGTCAGCAGTTATCAAAACTTCTCTGGACGATATGTCAACAAAGGATTGATCCTCCCTCTCCCCGTATCATCCGTGAGGATCAGTCTGAAGGCTGTGGTGATGGAGAAAGGGGAAACCCTGAACTCTGGGACTGAGCTTGGTAGGATTAGATCTGGTCTCTGGACTCTAGCGGGTCCTGGTCTTGGATTGGTTCCAGCACAGAGTTTTAACCTGGAACATCACCGGCTCCACTGAATCCCGCCCCTCGTACCATGTGTTTGATCCCCAGCCCCTCCCCTCCAGCTGTCTTGCTTTAGCGAGTTGTTTTTTTGTGCGTATGATTCTGTGTTTTTGAGTAAACATAGGATCACAGCAACTTTTTTAACTCACTTCTCTTATTGTGGCTGTTTTCCAAACTGCAAAAAGGGTACGCGACCTGACCATCAGTTTCCCCCCCCATGTTTGTTATGTGTGTCTTTCTCCTGAACGGAGTGTTCTTAACTGAAATTTCATTCTGCATTGCATCTTTGATGTTGTATGTGACAATAAAGCTGATTCTGATATTGATTTTAGGCCATATCGCCCAGCCCTATATAAACCCCAAATCAAAACAAATCAAATCTTTGGTCGAGGCAGATGGTCTCCTGTCCTGAGCCTGGTTCTGCTGGAGGTTTCTTCCTGATTAGCAGGGAGTTTTTCCTCTCCACCGTTTGCTCAGGATGGGAGACTGTGATGAAGTGATTCAACACAATCTGCTGCTTTCTTCTTTACATTGTTCTTTTCATGTACAGTGTCCTGAGACAACGTATGTTGTGACTTGGTGCTGTATAAATAAACTGAACTTGGACTTCAGGTGAACGGCTGAATATCTGAGGGCTGAGTGGAAACATGACTGAAACCATCCTGCAGGAACCGGAGCCTAACCCCCCCCCACCCCGAGTGACTCCTGAGCTTCCTGAAACGTGACGTCTTCAGGTTTCCTGCACAGAACCACTCCAGACTTCTGGCAAACGGAAGCCTGTATTGTTCTGTCCAAAAACTGAAAGAAAAAAAAAGTTGTTTTTGTAATAAAACGAGCCGTCTTCTCCTCTGATTCTAAACTGATCTGATGAAGATCCAGAGGTCTGAGTCGTTTCAAACAGGAAACAATTCACTCTTTTTATTTTAATCTAATTTAAAGAGACGTTTGGAGGAAAACAAGTTGCTCTGTAAGAAGTTTGATTCATCTGAGCGACACTTGAACACTGGCAGAGGAGGGAAACGTGGAGTTTCTGGTGTAGGAAGAGAGAAGAGAGGCGAGAAACGTGTTCTGGCTCCAGAACCGGGCAGATTCTGATCCGTTCTCTTCGTCTCAGCCTGATCTCATCTTTCTCACTTTCATCTTTCTGCCTCTCACAGCTCAGCTGCTAAAAAACACCAACTGCTCCCAGGAAGAGGAGCCGTTTTATTTAAATACAGAAGCGTCGGGAGGTGTGTGTGCGTGGAGCAGAGGCGGGTCGCACACATCAGCTGCTTCCTGAAAATCATGCAGATAAAAACCCAGAGGCTGCAGGAAAACATCACTTAAAACTAAAACAGCTCCGAGGTCAAAGAACTGGAACCTACAGCCTGTTTTTGAAGCTCTGCTCTGATCCAGACACCATGAAGAGAAACTCTGTAAACCTGAACCACTGCCACAGTTTGGACCAGAGAAATCCTGCTCACTACAGACCTATATAAGCCCCGCCCCTTTCCCTCGGAGCACAGCGAGGTTTGGTTCTGTTAAGGACTGGATGCTGACCAACACGTAACACCTCCTCCCGTCAGAAGCTTCAGGTGTGAAGAGTTTCAGCTGCAGGTGGGAATCAGTTTTCATTTTCATAAAAACGGTTCTGGTACCGATTCTCTTCTGGTCCGTGATGTCCAGTTCTGGTTCCGTGTACGGCTTCAGCTCGTCCTCCTCAAAGCCCGAGTTGATCCATCGATCCTTCATGATTTGCTGCAGGAGGAAGGAGAAAACAAGAGTTTAACCCTTTGTGATCTGAATACAGAGCACTGTAAACAAAGTGCTGAGTCATCGTTCACTCTGTGGATTCGTGATTATGATTATTCAGCATATTTTCAGCTATTTTAGCCACTCTGGCATCAAAACCTTCAGCTCATTCAGCCATGACGTTTTTATAATTTGTACTTTTTTGTTCCATTAAATAAACTCACTGAGGGCTCTTCAGTGTATTTACAACTATTTCAGCTACTGTACTGCTAATATTAGCTTCTAGCTACTGTTCAGATCATTTTGGCTTCAAGAAACTTTTAGCTAATTTCAAGGCTTTTGTTTAGCTAATTTTTACATCTCACTTTACTATTTTTGGCTTTATGCTGCCATTTAGCTCATTTTAGCTTCTAGCTGTCATTTGACTTCTACTTAATTATAACCAAATTTGGTTTCTAGCTTCCCTTTAGATAATTTTGGCTTACATTTACTGCTTAGCTAATTTAGGTTTTAAGCTACCATTTAGATTTGTTGGCTTAAAGCTAACTTTTAGCTAATTGTGGCATCCAGCTAGTACTTTGTTATTTTTGGCATCTGGTTAGCATTTAACAAATTTTAGCTTCTAGCTTCCATTTAGCTAATTGTGGGTTTCATCTACTATTTAGCTAATTTAGGCTTTAAGCTTCCATTTAGAGTTTGCTGGTCTAAATGTTTAGCTAATTTTTGCATTCAGCTAGCACTTTGCTATTTTTGGCTTCAGGCTAGCATTTAACTAGTTTTAGCATCTAGCTACCATTTAGCTAATTTTGGCTTCTACCTACTTTATTGCTATTTTTTAGCTTCTGGCAAATGTTTAGCTGATTTTAGTTTCTAGCTAGCATTTAACAAATGTTGGCTTCTAGCATCCTTTTAGCTAATTTAGGCTTTCCATTTAGATTTTGCTGGATTTTTTTATCCACTTCAATAGAAAACAGAACTGAATGTTAGTTTCTTAATTTCTGCATCATCAGTGACTTTATTTATTTATTTATTTATTTAATTAATTTTTATTTTTTATACTATAGTAAAGAAGAAAAAGAAAAAGTAGAAGAGAAATACAGGAACCGTAAAGAGAAACCGATAGAAATTACACAACATGTGAAATGAACACCGATAACACACAGGACATCACACCCGATATCTGACCATCAGCAAATGAGAAGAACAAACACCCAGCAATCAAACATAAACAGATGTATGTACATACATAGATTTTGTTGGCTTAAGGCTAATGTTTAGCTAATTTAGGCTTCTAGCTACTGTTTTGCTACTACACTGTGGTTAGTTGAGTCGATTTAATCACTAAAGACTTTTAATCTGAAAATCTGTTCCTGACTCAGATGAAGACACAAAATTTGAAAGTATTATTTATGGATACAGCATCAGAGAGGAGGAGGAGGAGGAGGAGCTTCTCTGTGAGCAGAAAGAAACAGGAAGTATATTTACATGTTCTGCGTCCTCCCTCACCTCCAGAGTACCACGCTTGGCCGGGTTCAGGACCAGGAACCGTTTCAGCAGGTTCTCACAGTCTGTGGACATGTAGAAGGGGATGCGGTACTTTCCTCTGAGGACACGCTCTCGCAGCTCCTGCAGGATAAACAAACAAACAAACAAACAAACAAACAAACAAACAGAGAAAATAAAACAGAACATCAGGTTTGAAGGACTTTTATTTTGTGATCCACGTTTGTTTACAGAACCACAGCGACCCACCTTCAGGTTCTGTCCATCGAAGGGCAGCGAGCCGCTGACCAGCGTGTACAGGATGACGCCCAGACTCCACACGTCCACCTCTGGACCGTCGTACTTCTTCCCCTGGAAGAGTTCAGGAGCTGCGTACGGCGGCGAGCCACAGAACGTGTCCAGCTTGTTGCCCAGAGTGAACTCATTACTGAAGCCGAAGTCTGCGATCTTTATGTTCATGTCTGCGTCCAGAAGCAGGTTCTCTGCCTGTCAGCACGTCAGACCATCATCATCATTACCACCATCATCATCATCATCATCATTACCATCATCATCATCATTTTTATCATCACCATCATCATTATTATCACCACCATCATCATCTTCATAATCATCTTCATCATTATTATTATCATTATTACCACCATCATCACCATCATCATCATCATTATTCTTATTATTATTATTACCACCACCATCATTATTATTACCACCACCATAATCATCACCACCATCATCATCATCACCACCATCACCACCATCATCATTATTGTTGTTACTATTATTATTATTACCACCACCATCATCATTATTATCATCATCATCATCATCATTATTACCACCATCACCACCACCATCATCATCATCATTACCACCATCATTATTATTACCACCATCATCATCATTATCATTATTACCACCATCATCATTATTACCACCATCATCATCATCATTATCATTATTACCACCATCATCATTATTACCACCATCATCATCATCACCACCATCATCAT